GGGCGGGGGGCGGGGCGAGCGGAGCCGCCGCCCCCCTCTCTTTTCAGGCCAATTTACCTCAGGGGGGGTTGTGAGGAGGAAGATGGGGGGGAAATGGGGAGATAGACGACCCCAAGGTGGGCTTGAGCATCTCTCTGTTTCTCTGGGTGGTCTACCTTGCAGGGGGCTCGTGAGGAAGGAAGCCACGAACCAGCCTGCGTTTTCACCTCATGTGAAAATGGACCCTTCGGTCCAGTTTCAGGATCCCCATAGCCTGCAAGCTGGGAACGTTGGAGGGCTTGAGTAAACCATGGTTTTATTAATTTACCCTGGACAGGCAGGGCTGTGGGAGGCAGAGCCTGGAAGTCCTTTGAGCCTCCTGGACAGCTGTCAGGATTGAATTATAAATGAAAGTATAAATAAGAAATGCAGAGCTGCAGGGATCCTTTACAGATGCTTATTTGTGGTGCTGTTATTAATCCTCTCTTATTTTAAATTAAATATAATTGCATCGGTCAGATTTATTAGTAAGAGACTTGGGGATCCATTAAAAAGGTGTCCTTGGTTAACTAAAGAGCAAGGATGATATATTCCAGATGCAAACGTTATTTTGGAAGAGCTATGGGTGACCAAGGGCGATGTTTCTTCCGCAAAGATGCTGGGGATGTGAGTTCACAAGTGGTTTTTCATTTATTTATTTAATCCATTTATATAGCCGCCCTCTCACATACATCACTCTGGGTAGCTTACAATTTGTTGAACAAGAAATAATTGTAGGTTGGACAAGCCTCATTCCTGCATAACATTAAAGCACAAAGTGTGGTTTACAGATTACACTGGCTAGGTTCAGGTGTTATGCTAAAACATAAGGTACTGTGTTTAGTTTGGGCTTCACGTTACGTACAAACCCAGTTCAGGTGACCTGCAAGCCATGATTAATGGCATAGTGCCCCATCGTAGCTTGCACCAATATGGCTTTGCCAAAGACTAGCTTTGCTAAAGTAATTCCGGTATCGCAACAGGAAATCATTTAGCAAGAACCTTCTCACTTCCAGCTGTCAGATAAAAGTAGCTGGTTTGAAACAGGACGTTGATTCTCTTTGCTTAGATTCCAATCTCAGTCCTGGCTTCTTGACTGTTATCATTAGCAGTTGCACGTTTGTTTAAATCTTCCGCCTGGAATTGTTTTACGTGACTTTCGAATTTTGTGGACATTTGTTCTGATTGTTTATTTACACAAGAAAACTCAACATTGTGTAGCCAAAAATGGCTGCTCGGTTCCCATCCGTCAGATAAAATGCCAGCGTAAAAGGGAGTTTTCAGGGTTTTCCAATGCCAAGAGGAAAGGGGTGAGTTTTATTTGGGGGGGGTAGCATGTCCCACAGTGCTGGGGCAACCACCGAGACGATCTGCCTTCTGCCCCACATCCCCTTCCCTTCTCACAATCATTGAATTGTATAGCTGGAAGGGACCTCGAGGATCATCTAGCCCAACCCTCTGCAGTGCAGAGGAAAACCACCTTAACCGTCCTTGAGAAATGGCTTCTTTGTCAAAACCTCCAGAGATGGAGGACCCACCACCTCCACAGGTGGACTGTTGCACTCTTCTACTGTTCGTGTCTTCAGGAATTTTTTTTTTCCCTTTAAGTCTGCAATTTATATCCATTATTTCTGGTCCTGGTTTCCATGGCAATGAAGAGAGGGAGCAATTAAGCAAGACCCCTCCCCATGTTCCTAGCGGATAGGCAGAATTACTTTGGCAGTCCCTAATGTAACCTGGAGCTGCACCATGAAGGGCAGGCTGGCACAACCTGTAGAGCCCCATTGATACATGAGAAATAATTGTGGGCCACCAAGGAAGAGTTGGCACGCCAATCAGCTATTCGGTGGCTAGCAAGGCAGAGGCAGTGATGGTGCTGGCAGTCTGGGTGAGGCCTGGAGGCGCTTGGGAGCACGTCTTTCAGGGCAGAAGTGGCTGTGAAAAATTAGCCAGAGGTAACATTTGGTGGCAGTGAATTGGTTGAGTTTTCAAAAAATGCCATCAGGCTGCACAAAGCTGCTTGGCAGGCAGCATGCTGTGCATGCCTGTTCTAGGGTGTTTTGATAATAACGCGTATTTTTAATTGGGCCTGGAGGGGGCTGGGAACTAGTGCAGTGACTGCAGAGTGGCATTATCCTACAATCATGGGTAGGACCCACTAGCAGTCTGGCCACTGCCTCGTGTGTGAGCTAGAGCTTCTGAGCCCCACACAGAGCGCACTGCAGTAGTCAAAATGTATGATGGTAAGGATACGAGTTCCTGTCCGCAACATTTCCTTGCCCAGGTATTCTGAGTCTTCATTCCCTGCAGTACTTTTGCACAATCACAACTGGGTTAACCAATACATCACACTAAGCTATACTACGAGTAGCTTGATTTTAGCATCTTTGTGAACCAGACTCTCATTTTTATCCCTTCCACATCAACCCCGCGAGGAAGGCTGGGGTGAAAGAAAGCAGCTAGTCCCCAAGCCACCATTGAGCGCCTGCCCGGCTACCTTCACACGACACACGACACACGCTTACCAGATTCACCTTTTTTCTGGGCTTATTCAAAAGGCTGAATCATTTGGTGAGCGAGCCGGCTGGGCTCGCCCACGCCAAGAAGCCCTAATCACGCTTAGCGTATTGTGCGAATGCTAAATGCAACGCTTTGAACTGAACCGAGCCCGCCTGATGCAGCGGATGAAGGAGAGGTCTCCCTGTCTTTCAGCCTGCCCCCTCCGGGCCAGAAGGCTTGAACTACACCTCCCAGCACCCTCTGCCAAATCTGGGGAGCTGCGGCGCAGCTGCCCTTCTCCCCGTTGCAAGGCGCAGCTGCTGGAAGCGCGCCCAGGAAAAGCGGCGTCCGCGAGCGCAGCTGCTCGAGCGGCGGAAGGAAGGAAGCGGTCGCCGGCCTGGGCAGCTGCTCCTTCCTGCCTTTGCAGCGCAGCCGCCCTCCGGTTCTTGCAGGAGCTACGCACGTCCGGACATGGGCGATGTGGGTGGCGCAGCTGCTCCGCCACCGACCCTGGCTGGCTGGCTGGCACCTCCGGGGGGCTGGGCCTGCCTCGGGCGCCTGCCTCCGCAAAGCCGGTCTCCCGGAGCTTCGTCCCCCCGCGCCGCCGAGGGATCAGCGCTGCGGCATGGCCGGGTCTTCCCAGAACGCCTTTTGTACGTCCGGTCCGGCTCGGGTCCTCCCCGGGGTGGGGGGCGCGGAGGTTGCAAGGATTCCGGGCTGCTGCGCGGTTCGTGCCATCCGTCGGAAGGCGCAGACGGTCCCGGCGTAGCTCGGAGATTCGCCTCTCCTTTGTTAAACGTCCCTTGAAAATCCTGAAATCGCGTGGAAACGAAACGCAGCCGTAAATCGCCTGGGTTTAATGAACCCATTAAACGAACGAATGGAGTGTTTCAGCGTCCCTTGAGTGGGAAAGCTGAAATTTAAGCTGCTGACGACCAAGAGCCTTGGGGCGTTTTCAAGAGAAGCAGCTTGACCGTTTCAGCTCTTGTTTGGGGGTGCGGGTGATAGCTCGGCTTTGATGAAGTGGCTTGTGAGGCACCACAGCTTATGTCGTGATAAATGTATGAATCTTGAAAGATTAAGAATTCTTCTAGGACAGAAATATTTGGTTTTATTATTATTTTTTTAAAAACCACTTAAACCTGGGCTTAATGATGACACAGCTTGAAATGATGCCTGGGAAATAGAGTTCAGTGACAGACAAGATGCCAGCATCTGAGTCTCCACTGAACTGATGGACGGGGACAGGGGCTTGCTTTCGGTTGAGAGAATAAAAAGGCCAGGGAGGAGTCATGCATTCCACTTCATGTATTTTGGAGGAAAGATATCAGTGCACCGGAAATAATGATTTATTTATTCCAATTCCTCATTTATTCCAGTTCCTTTGGATGATTTAAGGAATCAGATTTCAATTCTCAAACCTTTTTTTCTCGGTGTTAGGCAGATGGACAGAAGACAACCTTACTCCGATTCTACGTAAAGGATGATGCGTGATTGGATTCACATAATACAGCAAACCCACAAGCCAACCCTTGGCAATTCAACTTGATGTGCTGTGTGAATGCAGCCCATCTGGTTGGGTGACAGTTTGGTGCATCCTGTGAACCCAGAATAGTGGATTGAGTAAACCATGGTTCAGATAGCCATGCTAAGGCTTTGTTAACCTTCACCAACCTGGTATCATCTGTATGTTTTGGACTATGCTCTCAGACGTTGGCTGGGAATTTGGGGAGTTACTGTCCTCTGAATGGAGGGGACTGATCTTGAGAAATCGTGGGTCATATATCAAGCCAAGCCAATCCCTCCCATTTCCCTGCCTTAGCTGCTAGTTATAACATTGAGCTTGGTCTAGTCCAGTGTTTCTCAACCTTGGGAAAACCTAAATTGGATGAAAGAGTTTACTTCCCTCACCCCCCCCCACCCACCCCACAAC